CGCGATAGTTTGAGACGGTTTTGACTAGCGTCAATTGAAATTGAACATGCTGTAAATTATTCCACCAAAGTTTAAACATGCAAGATAAAGAAATGTCAAATGGCATTATTTATGTCATGCAATTTATAAAATACATTAAATACATTGTCCGTAGATAAAAAAAAAAAAAAAAAAAAATTACAAATATCTCGCTATCATAGGACGAGAAAAGTTGGGGACCAAAAAAAAAAAAAAAAACTTCAAGCGAAATCGCTCGCTTCACAATTAATCTTGCTTGGTGGTCGAGAAGAAAGTATTGACGAAAAAGTACAAACATATAACAAACGCGCAAATGTTCATTCGCAAAAGTCAAAAGGAAAAAATAATCAAGTTTTTGGTCATCATTCGTGAGTCAACACGAAGTACCGCCCGAAATATGGAAAAGTTCGATAAGTCTACAGTACTATACAGATCAACCAATTTTTACGACTCGGTGAAGAAAGGATGATTCAGTGCTTCGTCAACTGAAATACGCTTCAACGGATCAACGTCCATCAACTTTTGGATGAGATCAACGGCGTGTGCCGAGTAATGTTGGAATCGATTCTTGGGAAACTGTATGCCGGAACTTAATTGTTCGGACATGGGTCTAGAGTCGTCAAATGGGTACCGTCCAGCAAGACTAAATTCACGCACGAACACATCGGTCAACAGGCATCTTTAAATATATAGTCGAGACACGCAAAAAAGATTCAACTCACCAGACATACAAAGTCGCGCCTAATGACCATATGTCGGCACGCTTGTAATTTAACCATGCCAATTTCTCTGTACGGTGGAATTGTCCCAAGACTTCGGGTGCTTTTTTTCGGCAACCAATCATAAAAAAATAATTGATATCAATAATCGATATCAATGTGATATTATGGAGAGAATAAATGACATGCGTACCAGCAAAGGCGGGTGTTCCGACGACCTGTAAACCCGAATGATAGCCGAATTCGGTAGAGAGACCGAAATCTCCAAGCTTGGCAAACCCACCTTGATACAACATGATGTTTTCGGGCTAAAATTTTTTTAATGGAAGGTTAGAGCACGTGACACAATGCCACCGATGACTTGTGACTAATGTGAAGGTCGAACCTTGATATCGCGATGTGTATATCCCGAATCGTGCAGACCCTTAACCGCCTCGAATATGGGTCTCATGAGATCACGCGCACAACTTTCTGTCATCCGTCGTCGATAGACAACATCACTCAAATCCTTGTTTGCCAGAGGCATCACATAGTATACCTTTCTGGGGGTCTCGACCAGATCCAAAAGCGACACAATATTTGGCTATTGTCGAAAGCGAGAGGTTAGATAACGAACCATTACCATCATCACTAAATCAATGTTGCAACTTACAAGATCTTCTATTTGTAACATCATCCGACCTTCGTGTATTATCTCGGCATTCCTCTTCTTCTGTTTCCTGTCAGCAATCTGGAATCGACCCATCGTACATTTGAATTGCTTTTTCAGACACTTTACGGCCACCCGCATATTCGTTCCGAGATCAATCCCTACAACACCAAAATTAGAATTTCGGATATCAAAAAAAAAAAAAAAAAAAATCATGCATAAAAAACACACCTCTCAAGACTCTTCCATGATGTCCTTCACCAATAACCTCATTCTTATCGAAGAGATATCTCCCATTCAAGAGTCTCTCGGTTTTTGATCTTTTCGACACGGTGCCTATTGTTCCAGTTTGCTTCCCAATCTTCAACCGTGCCTTCTCAATTCGTTTCTTGGTTAGATCTTCGATCTTACGCTCGGGTGTTGAATCCGAGTTCTTTTCCCTTTCCGTTATTCGATGCAAGTTTAAACTTTGGTGGAATAATTTACAGCATGTTCAATTTCAATTGACGCTAGTCAAAACCGTCTCAAACTATCGCG